CAGGAAACCCTACACCATTTCGGACAAATGGCTGTCCAGTCTCTTCTTAAAAACTTCCAGTGTTGGAGCATTCACCGCTTCTGGAGGCAGGTTGTTCCACTGGTTAATTGTTCTAACTGTCAGGAAGTTTCTCCTTAGTTCTAGGTTGCTTCTCTCCTTGATTAGTTTCCATCCGTTGCTTCTTGTCCTGCCTTCAGGTACTTTGGAGAGTAGCTTGACTCCCTCTTCTTTGTGGCAGCCCCTGAGATATTGGAAGGCTGCTATCATGCCCCCCCCCCCGTACTTCTCTTCATTAAACTAGACATACCCAATTCCAGCAACCGTTCCTTATATGTTTTAGCCTCCAGTCCCCTAATCATCTTTGTTGCTCTTCTCTGTACTCTTTCTAGTTACATTTGGGTTGCCTTGTAATGCCAGTTATTTAATACTAGCTCTCTTTAGGTTTGCTAGACTGTTCAAGTAACATCTGGATTTGGATGGACAGCAGTATATAACTCTTGAACTACTGTTTTGGAATCCAGTCATCTACTTCTTCAAATGTATTTCGTGAAGGATTAGAATGGCCCAGATTGATCATCAACAAAAAAAGTTGCTGTTGTTCAGCTACACTGTTTCCTTCTCTGAGAGCTGCCCTCCCCCTTATTTTTTTCAAACATCTTCCCTTGGAGATGTTCCAGAACTTCTGCAAAACTTAAAGCTTTCCCAATATAATTGATACGTCCTCTTTGATGATCAAGTTGTCATATCTGCCCTTTGAACCTCCTTAGTGAGACCACAATTTCCACAAAGACAGAATGAGTCTGCAGTCTACACTTATCCTCTAAAGTTAAACTTGGAACAGCTTAATGACACATTGCTGGAGTTTGGCATAAATGTGCAGTAAAACATGGGGCTAAAGAGTAGTAATCAATAAATCCAACTCCCATTAACTGGCAGAATGTTTGCTTAATTCTTCTGAATTTGGAATCTGGCCCTTACATGCTGATTTTGCCAGATGTTAACCTAGTATTAAAATGATTTGTACCCAAGTTCTGTAAACAAAACAAAACATTTACCCATAAATGCGCATTTTATTGGAGAAAGAAGAAAAGAGTATCGAATAGGGAGCAGCCTTTGTTAACCTGGTTCCCCCAGATGTTTTGAACACATGCTCAAAATGATGGGAGTCTAGTCCAACTGCAGGCTGTCTGAATGAGGAGAATGACAGAGCTGGAAGGGACATTGAAAGTTTTCTAGTCTAACCATCTCCTCAAGCAGAAGACGCTATACCATTTTGGACAAATGGCTGTCCAATCTTTTCTTAAGACTACTATATAACTTAGTAGAGATTTATAATTTTGTTTAGGATTCTATCCTCTCATTCTCTTTTGCAGGTCGCACCATGTATGTCATTCCATTCAGCATGGGACCGATTGGTTCTCCTTTATCCAAGTTTGCGATTGAGCTGACTGATTCTCCTTATGTGGTGGCCAGTATGAAAATTATGACTCGTATGGGAACATCTGTCCTAGAGGCTCTGGGTGATGGAGAATTTGTAAAATGCCTCCATTCGGTTGGGTGCCCTTTACCATTAAAAAGTAAGCCATTCTTAAGCTAAAATGTACTTTGTTCATTCTCTCTTTCCCAAACGATAATTGTCATCGTTCATTTATTTACCAAGCAGAATATTTAGAGTGCTGTAGTTATGAAGTTGCCAAGTATCTCTTTGAATAAGAGATGCTAAGTTGGGACTGGTTGGTCATTAAATGCAACAAACCAGAAATTATTCATCAAAGAAAGAACCAACAAAGCATTCCTAAATATTTTGGGGTTCTTCCAAATGACTCAATTGTAGCTTGGATGAGAAAATTAAGTGCGATCTGGTCCACTGTTTCCCATCGCTTCCTTTTCTCAAAGCACCCAAGAAGAATTAGCGTTTTTCAAAGAACGTGGTCTACTGCGAGCCACTGTATCACTGGTAGATGAGCAAATAATTCTGCCCTGTATTATGACTCAATTTTTATTTACCAGACAGAAGAGAAAGGAATACAGGTAGTCCTTGACTTAACACCACAATTGAGCCCAAAATTTCTGTTGCTAAGTGAGACATTTGTTAAGTGAATTTTGCCCCTTTTTATAACCTTTGTTGCTACATTTGTTAAGTGAATTACTGCAATTGTTAAGTTAGTAACATGGCGGTTAAATTGCTGGTCGGAAGATCACAAAAGGTGATCAGAGGACCCCAGGGGACTGCAACTATCATAAATACATACCAGTTGCCAAGCGTCTGAATTTTGATCTCCTGACCCTGGGATGCTGCAACGGTCATGTGATGATAATAATAATAATAATAATAATAATAATAATAATAATAATAATAATAATAATAATAAAAAAGTTGGAAGGGACCTTGGAGGTCATCTGGTCCAACCCCCTGCTCAGGCAGGAAACCCTATACCATTTCGGACAAATGGCTGTCCAGTCTCTTCTTAAAAACTTCCCGTGTTGGAGCATCCATAACTTCTGGAGGCAGGTTGTTCCACTGGTTAATTGTTCTAACTGTCAGGAAGTTTCTCCTTAGTTCTAGGTTGCTTCTCTCCTTGATTAGTTTCCATCCGTTGCTTCTTGTCCTGCCTTCAGGCGCTTTGGAGAATGTCTTGACTCCAATATCTTCTTTGTGGTGCCCCTGAGATGTTGGAACACTGCTATCATGTCCCCCCTCGTCCTTCTCTTCGTTAAACTAGACATACCCAATTCCAGCAACCGTTGCTGTTTTAACTTTGAGCAGTCACTAAATGAACTGTTGTAAGCTGAGGACTACCTGTCTATCCATGCTGTATTGTTTCGAAAGGGTACATGGTAAAAATACAAAAAAAATGGATGTAACTTTTATTCAGGTGATCAGCCGGAAGTTAACAAGTTCTGTTTTGCTTCTTGTAGAGCCTCTAGTGAATAACTGGCCATGCAACCCAGATATGACGTTGATTGCTCACATCCCTGATCACAGGGAGATCATTTCATTTGGAAGTGGCTACGGTGGAAACTCCCTTCTAGGAAAGAAATGCTTTGCTCTCAGGATTGCCAGCAGGATTGCCAAGGAAGAAGGCTGGCTTGCAGAGCACATGCTGGTGAGAAAGGTTTTAATGACTAGATTATTTTCAATTCCAGTCCACGGATTAAGACGTCAATTCAGGGCCAGCATGGCTATAGACCCATGTATGAAAGTTCATGATTGCTTAGTTCCTCCTAGAACTCATCTCTGGACCTGTGTATTGAGTATTTAAAAATGGAGAAGGGTTTTCACTAAATTCTGTAAGGATGCTTTGATAGATAGGCATCCACTGAAAAAGTATATTTAAGAGTTTGAATCAGCATGTCTTTCTGACTTGAGTAATAAAAAAAATATATCATGGAGAATGGGGGCCCAAGTAGAATATTGATAATGAAGCTCTCAGGTCAGTTCTATTCTCAGTATGTTGTATTCCCTGAGTGTGTCCTGCACACCTGGCTCAGAATGCCCAATTTTGGAATACTATTAAGTTAACCATATAACATCTACAAGTCCAAAAATTATGCAGAGATGCTGTGCTCCCAGTAAAACCAAAGTAATTTCTCCACCCTCAACCTAGGGCAGGGTAGGCAAACTTGGCTCTTTGATGACTCGTGGACTTCAACTCCCAGAATTCCTGAGTCAGCCATGCTGAGGGGAAAGGGAAAGGTTTCCAAGCTGAGCCATGCTGGCTCAGGAATTCTGGGAGTTGAAGTCCACGAGTCATAAAAGAGCCAAGGTTGCCTACCCCTGGCCTAGGGTATCTTCCAGAATCATTCGACTAGAGGTAATCCTTGACCGATGACCACAATTGAGCCTAACATTTCCGTTGCTAAGCGAGACAGTTAAGTGAATTTTGTCCCATTTCACGATCTTTCTTGCCACAGTTGTTAAGCGAATCACTCCAGTTGTTAAGTTAGGAATACGGCTGTTAAGTGAATTCGGTTTTCCCTTTGATTTTGCTTGTCAGAAGGTCACAAAAAGGGGATCGTGTGACCCCGGGCCACTGCAACCCTCATAAATATGAGTCAATTGCCAAGTGGCTGAATAGTGATCACGTGATCCTGGGGATGCTGCAATGGTCCTAAGTGTGAAAAATGGCCATAAGTCGCATTTTTCAGTGCTGTTGTAACTTTGAACAGTCACTAAATGAACTTTTGTAAGTCAAGGGTTACCTGTATTGTGCCAAAATAATAACGAAGATAAGCTTCATCCCAATGGCTGAGGGATGCTTTGAAGAAGCTGTAAGTTACAGTTTCCATCAAAAGATGGGTTAGACAAGGAGCAAAATACTTAAATATGGAAAATTCATGCATAGCAACCAGAAGAATGGATTAGGCACTGTGAGATAAAATTTATGCCTGAATTATTTTTCATGAGATGCCTATTTTGATGTTAAAGCAGTAGTCCCTGAATGCTTTGAGTAGGATTAAAAATAAAACTTTAAAAGGGTATGTTTATTTGTGAGTCAGCCAGAGTCATTCATTCAGGGTTAGGCAGCAGATGTGTATTTATTTATTTATAACATTTATGTTCTGCTTCTCATCTCAGAGTGGGATTTTCTCAAACAGAGAAAAGTATAGGCACTCTGAAGAAAATGTATGAACATGTATACAACTTTAACATAGTGTAAACTAGGGGTGTCCAACCTTGGTAACTTTAAGACTTCAACTTCATGCTGGCTGGAGAATTCTGGGAGTTGAAGTTCACAAGTCTTAAATTGCCAAGGTTGGACACTCCTGGTGTAAACTACAATCTTACATTGCCTGAACTATATTTCACCTGCAACAAGCCTAGTTGAAGTCACACACAATTTCAGAATAATGACAAGTTTGAACATTTCATACATCTTAATGTTTTTGCTTGTGCTGCATGGTGAGGTTTGGAAAACAAAAGACATTGCTTGTGTTTTTAAAACAGATTTTAGGAATCACAAATCCAAAAGGTGAAAAAAAATACTTTGCAGCAGCTTTTCCTAGCGCGTGTGGAAAAACCAACCTGGCTATGATGAATCCATCTTTGCCAGGGTGGAAAGTGGAATGTATTGGAGACGATATTGCTTGGATGAAATTCGATGACAAAGGTAATTGACTTAGAATTCAGCTGGGAGTTGATAGTCCAAAAACCTAACTCCAGTTAGGTAGGAAATTATACTCATCTATATCTTTTCCCTCCTATCAGTTGTGTTGTTGTTCCAAGAAGGGAAAAGGTAATGATTAATTTGTAGACATTTGAGACAGTCATCTGTGTGCACTATTTATTTATTGAATTTATATCCTCAGGCAGTCAAAATCGACTTTGCAGTTTGCATGATATAAGGCAACAGTAAAATATCCATGGCATAAATTAAAAACTTCTAAAGCAAAATTATTTCATAAGATACACCCACTTACCAGTAAAAATAAATTGATGGCAAAATCCAAGCTAGAATGCTTTGCAAAATAATTCAGTTTTAAGTGTCTTCCCAGGAGCTTTCAGGAAGGGGGGGGCAGTTCAATTTCAACTGTGAAATTATTCCAGAGATCTGGCACTGCTACTGAGCTTCCTAGAAGTAGGGCCAATAAGCATTTTTTGCTGCAATTACCTTATAAGTCATACCAGTTTTAGTTGGAGTCAAGGGTTCTGCAGATGCCAAGCCCTGGGCATTAGAACGATTGTTCTCCAAGGGCTTTCTCTAGCATTCTGGATTGCTTTATTATAGAATGAGAGGTGGTGAAGGATGCGCCAAGAAGTAGCAAGCCCTTGAAGTATATGAGACTGAGTTGCTTACAAAAATGGGAGAATATTCCAACATTCCCAGGAGAGAATATAGTGGCAATTAGAGGGGCGGGCTGGGAAATTGCACATTTTGTGAATGCAGCTGATTAAGTGAAGGAGGGGAAGAATTCTAAATAATCATTTAAGAGGCTCAGGGTATTTCAACTTTGGTCATTTCACAGTTAGGGTAACCTGCCCTCATGCTGTCAGTATCCTTCCATGCCAGCTTAAATTTTGGGAGTAGTAATTCCACTTCGATCAGAGAGTACCAGATGGAATTAAAGAATACAAAAATAATAGTAATAATAATAAAGTTGAAAAGAACCTTGTAGGTCATCTAGTCCAACCCCCTGCTCAGGCAGGAAACCCTATACCATTTCAGAGAAATGGCTGTCCAGTCTCTTCTTAAAAACTTCCAGTGTTGGAGCATTCACCACTTCTGGAGCCAGGTTGTTCCACTGGTTAATTGTTCTAACTGTCAGGAAGTTTCTCCTTAGTTCTAGGCTGGTTCTTTCCTTGATCAGCTTCCATCCATTGCTTCTTGTCCTGCCTTCAGGTGCTTTGGAGAATAGCTTGACTCCCTCTTCTTTGTGGCAGCCCCTGAGATATTGGAACACTGCTATCATGTCCCCCCTCGTCCTTCTCTTCATTAAACTAGACCTACCCAATTCCAGCAACCGTTCCTTATATGCTTTAGCCTCCAATCCCCTAATTACCCCCTAGAGATGAAAGAAAGGAAAGGTTACAGCAGAGTTGGGTAAAGACTGGGTTGATGAATGTTCAGAGGTAAGTCCCAAAGGTGCTTTTTTTCAAAGACAACTGGACTTACTTCGTTTTTGCTTGAAGACGTTTTGTTTCTCATCCAAGAAGCTTCTTCAGTTCTTGGATGAGAAGCGAAACGTCTTCAAGCAAAAGCAAAGAAAATCCAGTTGCCTTTTTTAAAAAAAAAAGCACCTTTGGAACAACCATGACTTGGGATGACTGAGAATCTCTGTAGACACTCAGAGGGAGGAGAATAAGCAGTGATGAATGGGCAGAAAGAGGAGCAGATGATGATAAAAGAAAAGATCCTTACTATCTCTCTGGCATCTTAGCCACCTGCTGAATGATATCTGAAAGTAGCATCTTACCTAATGTTTCCTAGGTAATTTAAGAGCCATCAATCCAGAGAATGGCTTTTTTGGAGTTGCTCCTGGAACCTCTATGAAAACCAACCCCAATGCTATGAAGACAATAAAAAAGAATACTATCTTCACCAATGTAGGAGAAACTAGTGATGGAGGCATATATTGGGAAGGTATTGATCGGGAGCTTCCATCAGGAGTCACACTCTTATCCTGGAAAAAGAAAAAATGGACTGCCGAGAATGGTATGAAGGAGACCTATCCTTCCATTTCTCTATTATTTGGGTTGCATTTTTGGCTAGTGCAATGATGAAAATGTGACCTATATTTGTCTGAATATATTTGAACAGAGGAGCCTTGCGCTCATCCCAATTCCCGATTCTGCTGTCCTGCTAGCCAGTGTCCTATCATTGATCCTGCCTGGGAAAATCCAGAAGGAGTCCCAATTGAAGGCATCATATTTGGAGGACGGAGACCTGAAGGTAAGAACTGCAAACTAAGATAATGGCTCCTTCAGCTTAAAACAGCATTGAAAACAATTCGGAGTCATTTGTGTAAATCAGGATGTCTGAAAAATTAGCTTTGATAAATATTGGGGTCAAATTACATTAAGGAAAAGAAAAGAGGAAAAAAAACAATAACACAAGTGCCACGCAAAAGAAGACCAACCCATCTTTTCTGTGTCTGAGATACTAGATGAAAAGTTAATTGTCTTAAATTATAAGAAGTCAGATTTCAGTTAAATATTACAAATTCACACTAAGAGTGGCTTGATAGTAGACGAGTGACAGTCCATTTCCTCATCTTCATGGCACCACTCAATCCCTATTGAAATGATATGAAGCCTATCATTACTGCTATTTTACTTTGATGACTAGAAGATGTACAGGAAAATGACTGGAGAGAGAAAACTGGTCCCCCTTTTCTGCTTATCTTTATGCAGAGCTAGACACTCGTCTCCCAGAGATGCCTTAATTTTAATTCCTTCTTTGAACAGAGAGGTTGAATTCAATGGCCTCTTCTGAACCATGATTTTAGGCCATCTGCAATTTTTTTAAAGTCAGCTAGGCTGCTGCAGAAAAGAAGGATATTTCTTAGCAGAATAACTGATACAGTTTTTTTATTTAATTTAATGTGGAGAAAAGCAAGGTTTTACACCTAGGCTGGAAAAAACAAAGGTATAAGTACAGATTAGGTGAAACCTGACTCAAAAACAGT